GAGTTACCAGAAATAAAACCGTGAGGGTGTAGTTGGGGCCCAAAGCAGACAATATCATGCTACGGTGAAGTCGAGCCCTAGATGTGGTAGGGACCCGGGCTGAGATGTGACAATTTTAAACTGACACACCCCGACCCAAATCAAGGCATGCTGGTCGTCACGTGAGGGTGACGTAGGCATGTGCACAGTGCAGAAGCAATAATGATAATAGAGAATACGAATAAATGGAAACCAACTCATAAGAGTACTAGTTAAGACAAGTGCTAGAATATGTGAATACACAATCAGAGCGTAATTAGCCTAAGTTCAGTCCAGAAAACAAGTACTAATTAAACGACACCCAAAGATGCCTTACATTTGTGATAGTCTGTCAGAACCTCCAATCAATCCTCGTGAGCCACCAACGAACAAGCTTATCTAAAACTTGGAGGGGCGCAAAACAGAAAGTGTGAGTGGACAAAAACAAAGCTTTTCAAAACCATTTCATTTATCAAATGCTTTAACCCCTTGCTGTAAAACATGTATAACTTTCCCAGAAATGGAATATAATATATATATATATATATATATATATAATATATATATATATATATTTCAATTCATGCTTCACATATCCATATTCATAAGTATGCCATGTTAAATATAGAACAAAATAAGTAACTCAGGTGAAAATAAATTCATGGAAAATAACATATTAGCCGGCACCCCTGCAGAGGTTTGTACGGCTGAATTCATAGCTCATTAGTCAATCTAGCCGGAGTCATCGCAAGTGACCTATACGGCGTTACACTACACACGAGTCGGAACCACTGAAAAGGTATGTACGACAAGACTGGGTGTAATATAGTTATGCTCAATGCTACGCTCTCATGATAGCTGTGCGATAAATCGCTAGTCATCTACGAGTCGAAACCACCTATGATGGTCTGTTCGACAAGTCTGTGCACCTAAATTGGATCCAATGTGAGCATATGGTGCGGGAGGTGACATTATATACAGGCATGTACCATATCTCTGGCTAAATCACTAACACCGATGTGCAGGTTTATGAGCTTAATGTTTCTCAATCAATCACAACCGTTATTCACATTCACAATTTATAAACTCACCTAGGGCTTACCTGAGCGTCCACATTACCACAATTATATATATATATATATATATATATATATATATATATATATATATATATATATATGCAAACATCATAAGCATATTCTAAATGTAAAACATTTGGCATGGCAATTTAAATCATAACTCATTTAAATGCATTTTCTGGGAAAGATACCAAGCATATACATATATACTTAAAATCAAAAGCCTACTCACTGGTATGTCGAAAGGTCGTAGCCCCCGAGTCGTCGCCCTTGACTGCGCTCGTCCTCTGGATAGGTCTCACCTATATGCGAAATAACTGAATAAACGTTATTTAAAGCACATAGATAAAACTAGTTAATAACTTCTCATACATTGCTTAAATGGGATGTTTGAATATACCAACGTGATCTACACAACCTCACGAACATCCCCATATTTTTAGAAAAAAATTTCGACCACCCACGCGCTAACCAAGGCACGGCCAGACCCGCCTCCACGCGCGGGTAACCTTGACGGAATCCTAAATGCCATTAGGAATATTCCGTTAAAAAAAACAACAGAAACCGTTAAGTTTACCTGACGGCGTTAGAATATTCTATCAAGTTTGACGGAATATTCTCTGTCTTCTACCTTCGAACTCCGACGACCGTCACCGTCGCCGGAAATTGGAAAATCTTAAAATCCTTATAACTTCTTCATTTTTGCACCAAAACTCATGAAACTTATACCAAATTGAAGCTTACAACGAGTAGCACACATTCTTACCAATTTCAAGCTCCAAAAATTACGGAATCACGTCGGAAAATTCCTCAATAATTCTGCCAAACTGCAACTCGTCGAAATTTGGTCTCCCGACGTCCAATTTGCTTGGTTTTTCTTCTCCGAGCTTCGTAAGAACGTCCTAAAGCTTCCTACGAGCTTAAAATCCCCTGAAACATCCATAATTACGACCATGTGAACAGTACTCAAATCGGGGGTGATGGTTTCTTGGGTTTTTAAGGGTTTCACGATCTAAAAATGGCATATATGAACTCAAAGACTTGCAAGGAGTTTGAATCTTACCTTCTTGACGTCGACCCGTGCGTGTATGGTTGGTTCCAAAGTTCGTCCGTACAATTGTACAGATTTTCAGAAAAATCCGTGATGGAAGAGAGAGAAAGTGCACGGGTGTGGGGTGTGGGTGTGTTATGTAGTCCTAGTTTGTCCCCAACAAACCAAAACAAAACACTTAAGTCCTAAGTATTCCAAAACTTAGGAAAAATTGAGTGAAACCTCAACCAACATATCACACACCATAAGGTTCAAGGGTATAATTGTAATTTTATGCCGTCGAAAAATAATACTTTGGGACGGGTTGTGACAGGATGAATATCTTACCAAGTGGGGCCAACTATATAAATTTTAAAATAGCACAGTGCTCATTTTTGCGCAAAGTCTTTAGTTAGCTCTAAGTACACCATATATTTTCTTTAATTCTCTTTCTAAGTCTTCCTAGCTTTCCTCTACCCCTTTTGCCCTAACCCTCCGTCTCATAGTGGCATATGTATATGTTAACCCTAAAAACTACGTACCAAACCTACGTGGCACGCAGGCCGAATAGGTAATGAGATAACTACGTTCTTCGGTTGAATACAGGGCGTGCCAACTCGACGACCGAGCTCGGTCAGCGAGTGAATGAATATGGTGGTGGTGTCGAACATCCTGCTGACTTCTGTCTTCTAATTGCAATCGAGGAAGGAACTCGTCTCGGCCTTTAAGTTCTAAAGCCTAAAGACAACGTTACTAGTTTTCTTCGAAGTTCATAAATCGTTTGCACAAGGCTCGGCAGTTGTAATTATATTTGTGCAAATATAAGTGCGTCGAATCAATACCAGATTGTATAGACACAAATACTCAAAAGAGATAAGTGTCTTGATTATAAATATGGTTTGGCCATTTGAATGCCAAACTCTGAAATGTACTTGAAAATATCCAATCATAAAATAAATCGATTTTCGATGTGCTGAGCAATGTAACCTAATAATACCTCGCCAAGGGGGCTAATGAAGTGACCTCTTCCAATAAGGACTCAAGGACTCCTTACTAGCCGAGACTTGGATAAATAACCAACCGATCTTGAAGCAATGTTGTTAAGACTAACTGAATGTGCTCTTCGGTTGCCTGTTTCTGTGGCTCCAGTGTTGTTAAGACTAACTGAAGGTATTGCCAGTTGTCAACCACAATGTTGTTAAGACTAACTGAAGATGTGCTCGACGAAGTTAGAAAGATCAGTGGTTTTTAAAAAATGAGATGGTTTTGCGTAGAGCAAGAGTTTGCATATGGCAGATTTGTTTGTGTGTTTAAAGAAGCTTTGAGCGTTGTACATCCTCTCCTTTTTATAATAGCAACTTTCCTGGTGCCGAGGAAGAATCCTACTAGGACTAGATTTTCTCAGCATGTATCCCTTCATACGGATTGGACTCGACTACTCCTACCAATCCTGGGACTCTAAACCACATGTCCATCTTCTAATATCCAATCCTTTTCTTTTAACCAGACTCACCGTCCTGCTTATTGAGGACTCCTAGCCAGATTAAACCTTAACCGAATCTACCCTGAATATTCTGGACTGGGCTAGGATATCCAACCAGGGGCCGAGCATATGGCTTACGAGGCCCAAATTTATCAATTTAGGCCCAAACAATATGTGTTCGGTTCATATGTCCAAACCACCTTAACTAATTTTCTCTCATATTATTTTCAATTACAACCACTCCTACTTTACTTCGGATATCCTCGTTCTTAATCTTATTCTTCCTCGTGTGCGCACAGATCAACGAAGCATTCTCATCTCCATAAACTCATTTTTTACATGCATTGTTTTTGTACCGCCCAACATTTTATGTCATAAAGCATTGCTGGCCTTATTTCCATCCTATAAATTTTTCCTTAAACTTTAGTAGCATACAAAGGTCACATAACACACCTGACGCACTCTTCCACTTACTGAAGAAAATCATTGCAACAAAATATTGGAATCACAGTCATTTCTCTCTCTTGGATCGGCGAACTCCTCGACGGCCCTGTAGTTAGCGAACCACATGGCATCGCTAGAAACTAAGTGACAAGGGGAGGAATTGCTCCTTCATTGGCCACGATATTAAGATGGACCCCGCTATTCTCCCCTTGTTGATGATCAACAATATTACGATCCACGATGTTACAATATTTAAATATTTTTAAACCACATGACAATATTTAATTAGACTTGTAGGACCCAATTATGTGTCACATCATCGCATAACATAATTTTTAGGGAAAATTTGAAATATGTCCAATTTTATAGGCCTACTTTTGAGATATGTCCAATTTTTAGTAACTTTTGACTTTTGAAATAGGTCCAATTTTTAGTTACTTTGAATCCATATCAAAAGACCCCTAATTTTTAATAAGATTGTGACGAAAAGACGTACATTAATTTGCGGCACTAATTTTCAAGGACTACATTGATCGATTTTTAATCTTAAGGACCATCCATATGAGGTTGAGTCAATTTAGGGATCATTTGTCATAAAAATCAGTTAGATATTACCCCTTTCAAGGAGAAATTTTTCATTGTGATCGGAACACGAATGATACACCACGTGTTTTTATATAAGTGGTGGGAAATTTTATTTTTTATGTTACTAACTTTTTATGACACATATCCGACTATTTGTATAGTAACACGTTGTGTACTATCCGTGTTCAGGCTACACAGACAGATCTCTCCCATTCAAGATAAGAAATTTCAAAAAAAAAATAAAAAAATAAATAAAAAATAAAAAAGATAAGAAATTTCAGCAAAAAGGAACAAAAGACAAAGAAAACCAATCCAATCAATTGAACCAGAAGTTAAAACCCTTCATATTTTTCCTTTCACCATGAAAACCCAATCCAAAAGCATCAACACTGACATTGATTCCTTCTGGAATTGGAAATCAAAGCCACTGCACAGGAACAAGCACGACGACAATAGATTCTCGTTCACTGAAGTTTTCCACAGCAGCCCAAAAGCGGAGAGAAAGGTGGTGTTGGGGCCTGGAGGTGGTGCTGGAATCGGGTGCGGCGCTGGAGTTGGGTTTGGATTGGTGGGAGGGATGGGATATGGTGGTTGGTGCCCATGGAACCAAGTGAAGCTGGTGTTTGGGGTTGGTGTGGGTTGTGGGGTTGGATTAGGATTTGGGTTTGGGCAAGGAATTGGGTATGGATTTAGTCTGGAATCCCTGCTGGAGAGTTCAGATTCTGGCAAAGCGATTCAAATGTACCATAAATATTGATATTGTAAATTGTTTGAGTTTAATTTTAAATTTTGGATTTGTGGTTGTTTAGTTCGCTATCCTCATCTATGAATTTGCAGTAAGAATTTGGATGTCATTTGTAGGTATTTTGTTTCTTAATTTCTATAAGAAAGAAAATAATGTTGAATACAATCTAATTTTGCAGTTTCTATAAAAGAGATCCAAATTTCCAAAATCCAAATTGATTACAGTTGAGAACTAACACGATAAGCCACATGTATGTGTATTTTTGCTCGTTCCATGATCTACTTTACACTGACCATACATTAAGAACAAAGGAAAACTAATGAAAAGGGCTTGAAAACTTTGAGTTTTAATGATAAGGACAAAATAAAGGGTAAAGTGAATAGTATCAGGATTGACTTTTTAGTGTAAAAATGTGGTTTTTCGTTAAAGTGAACAGTACCGGGTGTTTTTCGTTAAAGTTCCCGAAGAACAATGCAGATATTATTAAGCTCCTTACGTAGGGAGTTGTAAAGATAAATCTTTCAATGGCAGAAAGCTCATGGAGTAGTAAAGAAAGTGCATTGAGGGGGAGCGTTATCGGCCCCCTGAATACTAGTCAAGAACGCATAAGGGCGTTTAGGTAGGCAGGGTGGCACAGCCCCCAACCAAGGGAGTGGTTACGTCCAGTATAATTAATGCGCTTGTTTATTTCCTAGAGTGTCACATTAACGATCGCAACCTGCATTGTTCCAGCTGCAACTGTACTTGATTAACAGAGTTATTGTGCAACAATATCTCTAGATCATGATATTCTCTTTATGAAGATTGTAATCATCAGAAAGCATCAAATACCATAGCTATGGAGTAGCAACGGATACTTCCAGCAATACGTTCATCCTTCAGCCAGCACCTCAATACTATTTCCACCACCTATCGTTACTTATACAGCTGCTAAACCAGAGAAGAAACACAAAACAACGGCCTCGGGCCCTATTACATAAGAATCTTTGAAAGAACAACAATCAACTTAATAATAAAACCTAAATTATGTCAGCGCATGTAGGTGATCATATTAGTTGATATCTTCGTGCTGATCGTCTATCACTACCTGAGAGAAGCATGCACTTGACGAACTTGATGAGATGAAACACCGGCCGTTGGATACTGCATGTAGGGCACAGCAGCTGGCAGCATGAGTCGGCTGAATAGTACTGCGGGCTCATGGATGAGCAACATGATGGAGGATTAATATTATTGTTCAATATATGTCATCATATTCAGGTTCTCCACCGTTTTTGAATCATCATTGGATTATTGAAATTAATGTGTTGCCCCTCAAAAGGCAATTCAGAATTGCTGCTGGAAGGACCTACGCTTAACTGAAGAGTACTCAAAAGATTACTCAAAATATTCATTTGAACTATCGACTCGATCAGAAGGCTGCTGATGATGATGATTATGATGATGATCAAAAGGCTGGAGCATATCATCATAGGCTTTTTGTCCTCCTCTTGATGATTAACTTGATCCTGCTTGTAATAGTTACAAGGCCGACTTTGGCTTGATGAACATATATGCTGATAATGTTCAGCTGACTGGTTCCTCTTATGAAGTAATGTTCTCTTGCCAGACTCAAGCTTAGCATCTAGCGAATTCAAAAGCGCCTCTAGTCGATTCTCTGACAAACTTTCGATGCGTTCATCCCATGTTGGGTACTTGGCCTCGTACATCTCCTTACGCGCTCTGTAGGTATCAACATAGACCTTTGTCTGTCGGTCCATCAACAGGTCAGATAAGTGCAACATTTTCTTGGCTGGTTTGCTCATGGTGCTTGCCTTTTACTTCTTCATTATGCGATTGACCTCATTCTGGTTTTCTGGCCATGTGTGGAGTTCAGGGGGCCGACCAGTCTGTTTCGGGCCACAGATGGTCATGCACACATCTAGTTCGCAGAGAGTTGAAAACTCGTAGGCCTTCTTCATAATTCCCTTCTCTTCTGAAATGTTATTTTTCGAGCTCGTTCATTGGCTATGAGTTCCATCTCCAGCCTTCCCCGACCCATACTGTTTTAGTGCTTCGAAATAAAAAAATAAAAAAAAACCTTAGATTGTTTTGAATAGAATTTGAGATTCAACTAGTCCTATATTTTCATGAGTAACAGCTTTTGTTTGGCTAGTGACATTGACCTGCAAATTATAATATTTTACTTGCACTTTAAAATATGGAGGGCGTACACAAATTTTTAGTAGAAAATAGAATGTGAAAACACTCAATAGATAACAAGCCGTATATAAACAACAATTTTCAATTTTCTTTACTGGTTGCCTTCAATATATAAAGAGAAAGGTTAACTAGTAGAGAAACTATATTTATAAACTAAATTGCATTATCAATTAAGTGTTGATTAACGTGTTTATTTTTTATTGGATTATCACTTTATAAACAGAATATGTTTATTATCGCTTAAGTAAAATTGAAAAAATAAAATTTATTAAAAATTAAAAAATTAAAAATTAAAAAAAATTATAAAAAAAAAAAACCAAAAAAGCCAGCATACCTCTCCACCCAACCCGACCACGTTAGCCATAGGACTTCGTCGCAACCCAGTGGCAGACCCAGGATATGAATGTTTAGGGCTCCCAGTGTTAAATACAAGTTTTTTAGATAGGAACAAAACTCGAAGAGCGCAATAAAAAATCAGTTTATTCACTCGGTGGGCTTGTTATGCATATGTCAACAGATATCGAGCAATATGATGAGTGATATAAAGAGAATTTATCGAATGTTGTCGACGCAACATGTCCAGACATACTTAGCATGCATTGCATCAAACATTTAGTAAGCACAAAAGGGATTCGTATCAAACGTTCGAAGGATCCTCGAAAATACTTTCACATGTATATTTTCCGAACTCGGTTAGTCCTGGGACTTTCTTGGTCCCTATTTCCATCCGCACCTGCCGACACCCTCTTTCGTCCTCACCGCTGAGCTATTGCATCTCCTCATCACACCCCTTTCTCTTTCTTTCTTTTAAAGTTGACAGCATTAGATTAGAAGGTTAAGTGTCCGGGACATGTGTCAAAATATTAGAATTGGCGTTTCTTTTTCTTTTCTTTTTTTTCCATTTTTTTTTTTTTACAAATAACAGGTACATAAGATTTGTAGCCTCCCCTTAACCCTAAAGTCTTACTAACAATTATCGCTATGTGAAGGCAAGTTTCTTAAGATTGGACCTAAAAAAATTATAACTTATTACAATGTGAAGTTTATTCTGATATATAAACACCCCAAGTTGAGGCAAAAAAATTTTGACTAGATGAAGGTTAGTTTTGCTTAGAGAGGTTTTACTGTATTACATTATTCTTTGTTAATTCTCTCATTGAAGCAAAAACTTTTTTCCTTCAACGAGCAGAAAACAAGGACGATTCGAAACTCTCATGCCGGTAAGAAGCTTGTATTCTTTTTACTTATCATTAGATGCAATTTTCAGATAGATAACAACTGTTGAACTAAAAACTTATAATCCATTCATCATGCAGGCGCAGGTGGAGCTTTAACTGGGGATATAAAATATAAACAGAATCCGTCAAGATTCGTAAAAACAAGCTTGGAAGCAAAGGCAGTGTTCCTGTCAGTTTGAATCGTGGTATTTCTCTACAAATATGTACACCGGCAGGAATAAGCTCCAAACGTCCGAGTAACCTTTGCATTCAGAACACACTTTTGAAGAGGTTGGAGGAAGAATCAACAAATGCACAAAACTATCTCCTTCCAGATTCTAAATCTTCCAATGCCGAACCAGAATCACGTGCTAATGTTAACCCCATACATCCATGGATGCTTGTTTCGTCTACCTGATTCCCAACCCAAGAATCTCTGACCTGCACATTGCTCGCATTTACCGTGCTGGTAACCTGTGTCCCTGAACGTGACTCCTCCAACACCTGGAAGTAAGCATACGGGCCCCAACCTACAAATGGATGTATAGAAAATCAGATGCTATAAAAACACACCTTGAAAAATTACTAAAACAAATCGAAAGAAGGCCTATGTTCATTAGCACTGCTTCGATACATAACAGACAGGCATGCACCGCTTCAATACAAAGCAGACAGGCATGTCCGACCAAGGAAGAGCGAAACACTAATTCAGTGAAACAAGATCTATGTTAATTTGGTAGATACAAATGGAAATTCTCTTAAAACATCAAGCCAAATTAGAAAATTAACATGAAGAAATTGGACTGTTGATTCCAAATTACATACATTTACGTCACCCACTGTATTCTTTTACAAACTTCCACAAGCACAAGCGCGCACATATCAAAACATATGCCACAGAGAGATATTATGTGCAAAATATTTCACTAGTCGTAGAGGACACAAAAGGAGCACCGTCATTGATAAGCAAAGAAAAAGTAAGACCAGACCATTGCAATTACAATAAACCAAGTTAGTCAACAAAGAAGAAACACCACAAATATGATTCTACGAAAATGTAACTTAATGTCACAACACCAAAAAAGCAACATCTCTAGAAAATATTTCCCCATGACAAAAACAACCGTATAGAATTTGCTTGGTACCATACCTTGGGCATGATATGGGGGTGGAAAGAACTGCAAATAGCAAAATGTAGCAACCGTAAGCCCTGCAAAAATGATTCCCTGATTGTTACTTACAAATAAGGTTCAGCAAGTTGTTTAGTTACCATTCATTATGACACAAACCTAGAAGACCTCCAGCAAATACATCTTGCCAGTGGTGCCAGTAGTCATCGACTCGAGAAATTCCGACAAGTGATGCAACAAGTAGTGGAAAAATAACAATGCAAAGTTTTGCAACATGGCCTTTGCGATCAAATACTTGTATTTTTCCTGACAAATACAGAGAGAGAAATCCAAGACCAGCAAAGGACCCTGCATATTCAATCCAAATTTCCTCGATGTTAAAAAGTCTGCAACAGATTGAGGTAAATATAGTGCTTGTATGACATTACCGACGAAGTTGTTCACATGTAAATTATATTCAGTG